TAAACGCAAACTGGTTTGTTTGATAACACATCTTTTACGATAATTTTCATGCAATGAATTAATGTATTCATCTAGTTTTTTTTGTGAAAGACTACCTCATGATTATTAACTTCAACAATTGTTGAATTTGATACCATTATTTGTTTTACAATTTCACGTGTGACTATCTCTATATATATCGTTTGTTCCTTCAATTATTGAACAGACGAAAGAAGAAAGAATCAATTAAGAGATAAAGATAACGTAGGGTATACGATGACAACAAGCGTAAATTGATAAACATTGCTCTTCAAGAATTTATCTTTTTCTATTCATTAAAAACTGATTCTAATGTTGTCCATAATAATTTCAGCCGAATTTAGAATTTCAATTTCGTCTAGAAGTAATTAGAATTTCAATTTCGACTAGACGAATTCTGAATTAGGCTGCATTCTAACTTTGGCCATAACATATGAATATAGAGAAATATCACATATTTATATTTGAGAAACTAACAAATATAAACGACTATATTATAATGTTTTGTCCTGAAGATTCGTAAAAATCTGAATGTAAAAAAGAAAATGAACAGTTTTTGAAGTCATTTCGATTAACAGATTAATAATGATTCAACAAACCGATCGCATCGGACCGGTTCAAAATTCTCGACTGGCTACGATTCTGGTCAGAATAAAAATCAAATAAGACCTTGTGTACTATAAAAGCAATGAATATGAAACGAAAACTTTTACTTAAGACAACTAATTGATGTTTCGAATACAATGCAAGCGTTAGCTTCTTTTTGTTTTAGATTTTAATCGTTCCAAATGATATTTTCATTTTTCTATTTTTTATTTCTTGTTTTTGTTTGCATTCAACAAAATAATTCATTAAACAATGTATCATCCAATGAATATCTCGGGAGTACCGGCAAACATTTATTTTATTTCGTTCATGTAATTATTGTTTGTTTTCTAATCTTTTGTAATTTATGTATCAAAACAAACAATAAATTCTATTATGGAATCAGGTCACAGATTTACATGTTACTCAATTTGGTCATGTTGATCGAATCGAACAATTTGAACAATTTTGTAATGAAATTATCAAATCATTGATTCAACCACAAGTCACTATTGTATCAGGTTATTTCAACTAACGAGAGAGACTAACTTTACTAACAAGAAAAAAAGAACAATAACAGAACGGATTCATTTATTATTTCATCGCTATTGTTTGAATGCTTCCCTAATCTCTTTTTTTTGAAAGCGAATGATTGACAGTTTTTCAACAGTCATTTAACAAAAACTGTATTAAAGATTGAAAATTCATAAAAGATGATTGAGATTCTGAAAAACCGCTTTGCAACTTTGACGGTTCATGCAAAAATCGATCGAAATTTAATTTAAGAAGGAATGTTTTCGTGGAATAAAGTCTGCGCCAGTCAGTTAAGATGATGTTAAGCAATGATATTTTTCAGTTGTTTTAATTTTAAGCGTGCGAAACGTCGTTCTTAGTAATCAAGTTCTATCTACAGGCTTAGATTAAAAAAAGAAATACTTAAAACAAGGCATAAAACATTTAAAACCAGACCTATTTGATGACGAGATATTTTGATTTTTCAATTAGATAAATTTGTTGCTTGTGTAAAATTGATAACACGATTTGAAAAAATGAGCTGTTTTCACATTAGTAAACATTTGTAAGCATTTAGATCAAAGTTTCGCTCTAACACCAGTTTTACCATATAAAAAATTTGTAAATTTGCCGATTTTTACCGGTCTGGAACTATTTTTAGACCGACCAGAGCAAACCGATCCAAGTTTCTTAGACCGGTTCCAACTCTGGTACATCTCTTGATTTTAGTTGAAATCTAGTTAGTACTATATTATTGATATAAAATGGTAGAAATAATTTTAAGACGCTCTTGATTTTGCAATAATTTGACCGCCTTTATAGGTAGAAACTTGATGCTTTCAGAATTAGAACGATCATGTGAAGTACTATGTTACTTTAAAAGATGCCAAAATCAGACCATTTTTGATTGAGTTATAATCGAAAACTATTTTCTCCCAGAAGACATAATTTTTAGACACCTTCAGTATATTGCATTTCCTACCGTAGTGATTTTAATGAAAAAGGTTAAAACATATATCTTTCGTTGCAGAACTTTGTGTTCTAAATTTTGAAAAGAAATTTGTAATTCAACATTAAATCATAGTTTGACAATTTAGTGTTTATTAATACCAGCGAATAATGATATTTCAAAATGAGGAATGTAATTTATGCTGTGTCTCAAGCTGAATTTTGAATAGTTTACCCTTTTTACTACGATCATATATTTGTGCGACCACGTAGAAGACAATTAGATCACATAGATAGGCAAAGAAGACAAAGCTTAAACATAAGTGTAAAGATCTTCCCAAAATCATAAGATATTCTATCTATGTTGTCAAAATATATTCATGTGATCTTAAGAAGCTCATATTGTAAGGTCATTTTAAAAAAATGAATAAATTCTATTGGAAAAAATTACTAAGATGAGCTGTAATTTGGAGATACTCTATAACGATTTATATTCAGTGAACCCAAATTGCAGTTCGGAGTTCGGATCCAGCAGTTAGAGCTCTACTTCGTATACTATCCAATCCGACTAGATAGACTATTATATAGACCATTTCTGAAGCGCTACATGAAGTAGGTGTACTATGATGGAAGTACCTTGGAATCAATCAAAGTTGGGTTCCAATGTTTCTAAATATTAATTTTTTCAGAATGTGTGCTGATATTCAAATTTTCAGCCATTTTCTTCATTGTATGAGAGTCTACCATAACTAACTCTAAAACTTTCTCTGTGGATTTCCTTCTGTTTGCTTTTATTGAGAAACTTCAAATAACTGTGGTCAAGATCGAATCTGAATCTGTGACAGAACGCTCTGCTTTGAAAGATGCATACTAAGCAATTCCTTCATCTTCGTAAATCATTGTAGTGGGTTTTCAATAAGACAGTGATGAACGAACATCCTCTGAGACTATGTAAACCACTGTACCCCAAACGAATTTGGATCTGAAAGTCTGTCAAGTTGTAGTTCTCGTGACGACATAAAAACACTAATAGTTTGAATGAAAAAAATGTATTCTTTCGAAGACATCAATTCTTAAAAACTTGTCTTTAAACGTGTTTAGTTCAGAAAGACAAACATTTTTAAAAATTAAAGATACCAACAAGAAAACATTTCTTGACTGAAATGTTAACAGTAGTTTTATGACCATGAGAACTGCAGCGAGACGAAATTTAAGATTTGAAGTCGTTTCTATGACTGTTCAGTGTAGTTTTCTTGTACTGAATGAAAAAACTAAATAAAATAACCATAACCTTTGAAGGAAGCTCTGTCAACTCAAAGCCTGTTAGAATGATTCTTAGAATATTGTACCCGATACATGGACAAAATATCATTGAAAATGGTGTCGATAAGTTGAGGATCTTACCGCAGCAGCAACATGAAATAGTGTCTTGAATTCTTTCCTACGCAAAATAATCTACTTTGATAATCTCATGTTATAAATGTAGAAAAACCCCATTCTGATGAGCGAAAGCATAATGATCTTAAACATTATAAAGTAGAACATAAAATGAAAAACAAACTTAAAAATGAGCCAAACCTAAAATAATACGTTTGAGTTTTACTGATCATCTCAGTGTCAACCAGAACGATAAAATCCAGCGTCGTCTATCTGTATCTAATAAGAATATCCTCTCATGTACCTTGATATTTACCAAAATATTTTGTTGCCATACAAATCGATGCTTGTGAGAGCTTTTTGAATCAAGTTAGAAACGCACCAACTAGAAAAATGCATCAACACTGGCGGCAATTTGAATTAAACATGAACCCTTGAAATTTTTTCGAAAAATTAGACTTCAGAGCTTCTTTTAATAAGACGGGGCGGGGTGGAGCGGCGGCGGTGCACCGCGGACTCGCTTCCGCGGTGGTGGTGCACTGCGAGAGTGAATCCACAATGACGGGGTGGTGATAGGATGACTTTTTAGCTGCCCCGCTCATATTTGGTACACAAATCCCAGTCTTGATAATATACATCAGTAAAAAGTGCTAACTATGAACTTTGTCGCCTTTCATTTGTTATTTTTCTAGTGAGAGTCAATAACCTAGATGAGTTTTCTCTAAAAAACTAGATGTCTCACAACTGTCTAAGTTCGATCGTTCAAAAGTTAGCGGCAAAATATGGTGAAGCCCATAGATATCACGTTTTTGCTGATATTATCAAGTCTGACAATTATGCACTAAATGTTTTTCCAACGCACCGATTATTGTAAGCATTGTAGATAAGTGCAGAAGATCTAGTCTTGAAGAAAATTTAATTCTCTGCAAAACTGATATAAATCAAAATGTTAAACTTGCTTTTTGACAGGAAAAAAGTTTAAATTCAAAAACCGGTGAGTCATCAAAAAAAGAAAAAACTTTAAAATTCACTCACAAACACAGCATTTTTTTACACGAAAATTACATAGTTTCGTTTAGTTTTTGACACTTTTGCTGCAGCAATAGTTGATGTTGAAACTAATTCCATTCCTTATTTTGTAATATTATTGCTCACTGATAGTAACAAACACTAAATTTTAAAACTATGGTTCAATAATGGATTAAAAACTTTTTTCAAAATGTAGAGTGCAGAGTTCTGCATTGAATGGTATATGTTGTAAGTGTTTTCATTAAAATCACTAGGGCAGACAATTCAAAATACTTAGTGTCTTAAAATCATGTCCACCACCTGACACTTGTTATTTTAATATATCTTTGGGATAGCTATTTAAAGCAACTATTTGGTATGTTGATAACGAGTACTTGTGAAATACTCATCCAATAAAGTACGAATAATACTGTACTGAACTGACTTATATATTATTTAGATACGAGTAAATATAGATATATCATGTTTTCTTTTGTGTACATATATTATTAGTATTCCACTTTTCGACATATATAAAGTGTTAGCTGATAATGTCATATTTGATTAAATTCAAAAGCAATCTTATAAATCATATAGGTGACTTAACGCATAACCGTCATCCAGAATATGTTTCTCGACAATTTGAGCAAGAATGGATTATATACCAACGTATTTTAAATCGAACTAATGTCACACAATATACAGCATGGCTTGATATGAGAGGAAATCATGGTAAGGTGTTTATTGTTCTTAAATTATTTTAAAACTTGATGTTGTTTTTCTATAATTAATAGATGTATATATGGATCCAGATTCACAATCTAGTAAAAGTCTTTATCGGTATTGAGTATAAATTTTGTTCAAAATTTATCTGAAAGATCGTTTCTCTTGAAGTATTTATTCTCATCAAGGAATTTCACATAAAGCTTCATACCAATATACATTAACAACAAGTGATAATGACACTTATTCATTTGTTAGCATTGATATGTGTCAAAGACCAGGTATTGGTGCTCCACTGAATTTTCTTGGTTATATATCCAAAGTATTGTAACAAAGAAAATCTTTTTCAAATGTAAGTGTGTTTCTGGTTATTGTATTTTAGGAAGAATTGAAAAATATAAAAAAGTTATCTGAACAAACTCGAAATTCTAATACAACGATATTTTTTGGTCATTATCCCTTATCATTTACTTATTCAAAAGGAGTAAATGAATTAATGCGTCATGGTATTGTTTATTTAAATGGTCATCTGCATTCCAGTGTTAAAAATTTATATGCTCGGCATTCTGATGGATTACTTGAACTTGAATTAGAAGATTGGAAAAGAAATCGACGGTAAAAATCAACTATTCAGAAAAATAAACCAACACTCATACTTCTGACAAAAACTTTAATGACATCTAAAAAATCATTTAAACAGCTAAATTATGAAGAATAATAGGTCTAATGAAGTAGTATTATATTATTAGAGCAGTTTCAGTTTTTATTTTGTTTCGTCTCAATTAGATTAATCCTAGAGTTTATTGGATGTTAGCGAGCTTTTGTAAAGTTAGATGTTAAGCTTCATTTTGGCTATATACTCCTTTAAGTCTTTCTTAGAAACATGAGTGTTAATATCTTTTACTAACACACCTGTAAAAATTTCGATATTATTCTTAAGAAATATTTGTTTGCTCTTTTTGTTGTTTTTTTTTGCGTAAAGATTTCGCATAGTAACAATCGATTCAGGCATATTATCATTTGAAGATTTTCGTTTTGATCAACCAATTTATCCTGTTATATCAAATCCAAAAGCAGCTAAGTTTAAAACACCTAGAGAACCACTTGATCGTCTAAGTCAAAGTACACATATTCGGTAATCTGAAAATAGTTTATTAATTAATAAAATAAATACTTTTGTTTTTGGTTAAAGAGTTGTTGTTTTTTCCAAATGGCCAATTGTTGATGTCAATGTTTCGATTGATTCAAAATATTTGGGTAATGCAACACAATCAATTGATAATAAAAATTTATATGTATTACCATGGGATGCAAATTTTTATAATGATGGTCATCTTCATAAATTAAAAATTGAAATTAAAGATAATCAAAATAATAGAATTAACACTGAAAATGAATTTTCTCTTTCAACAACTACAATAACCGTATGGACTCGATCAAAATTTGTTTTGTCTATTCATTGGCCAACTATTGTAAAGAAAATATAAAATTTTTCTTTCCAAAAAAAATTGAATTTCTTTTTTTAAGTGGTTGCTTCCTATTACTGGCGCTTTGTTTTTATATATTATTGCCTTCATGTTTTTTCGATATAGTGTAAAACGAACGGCATGTAAGTAGGAATAATTGGAATTTTTTATTTTGTTAGCTCAACTCTGTGTTAGATACATTTAAGGAAAAACACACATTGCGTCTATGTTAATACGAAAATCTTCCAAAAATCAATCATTTCAAAGCATGAAACGTAGAAGATTTTTGTAGTGAGTCTTAAGACTAACGGCTAGCAGTATTTTCGAATATAAAACAATTAAAAGTATGTGTTCCTCGGAGATGCTTGCTCCCAAATAACATTCGATTGATTAAGTTCTTTCTTCAGACGAAAATGAATACATTTAATAGGCTAATAAAAGAGTTAAAATAGAAAAACAGAAATTTTCGTTAATAAATTCACATGTTTGAAAAAAAAAACAATTATCTACATACTATTCTATTAGTAAGATTAAGTTGAACAGAATATGTTCTTCATATACTAAATCTATGAAAAACTGCGTTAATAAGTGTTTTCCTCTGAATACTTGTACAAAGAAACAAGCATCATACCTTGAGTATGCTACATATTTTATAGGCTTTCTATTAAACATATATTTTCAAGCATTCCTATTAATATTGGTGAACCTTCGGTGCAGTAGTGGATTTAAAGAAGGAATGGCAATGGGAGCGATCGCTCCTTTCTTCTGAAGTATTTTTCGATTTTGTCTCAGCAGAAAACACCTAAAAATGTGCCGATACTATCTCTAATTGGACTTGAAAACATGTTTTGTAATTATGATCGTTTACATGAACCAACACTCTAGATCTACCACTATTTCAATGAAATATATTTCTTTATGTATTCATTCAAATGACTTTTCATTTAAAACGGTTAATAATAGCGGAAACATGCCGTCAGCATATATATATATTGATCACATGCGCATTGGCTTTGCTGTGCGTACTTAATATCAAAGAGCAGATCAGCAGGAATCGTTGACAACTTCATTATGTTTTTGACTAATAGATGTTCAGTGATATTAACCTATAAATTATAATTTTACCTACACAGTTTTGAGAGAAGCATTAAAACAAACAAAATTATCAATATAAGATTAATAACTAGACTGCATTGGAAGAAATAATAAAAACATGTGGATAAGGATTAATAAAATCAGGCGATAAAATAAAAATTGTAATACAATCAATTTATTTTGTTTATAGGAGAGAAAAAATACCTACGAATAGATTGTGTCTTGACAAATACTGTCAGACAAAGAAAAAAGAAAATTTCATGACAATAAACTATCTGATAAACAGATGAGATACTTAATAGAAAAAGATTGCGAAAGTTTACGTGAGAGTAAATTTATTTACTATAAATCACAGAGAATAGAATTAAAGCTTCTTCTTCCAAAAGATCGATTTTTCCGAAAAAAAAGACAACTTTTGGAATGAATCTACATTAGAGATGGGACGTGTTTGCATTTTTTTGGAATCGAACTGACATGATTTCTTCAAAAATTTCGAACTGAATCGATCCCATCTCTGATATATAGACATGACCTTAAAATGTCTAATGCCTATTTCAAAAGAAAAAAGTTGGTAGGTTTTGAATAACTGTTGATAGAAACGACATCAAGTGCTGCGGTTTTTACTGTCGGAAAAGGATATGAAGCCGCGTCGAATCATATATTATAGATTCTCCTAAGATATTGCTTAGTTTTTTAAATTAGTTTTCTAAAAAATATGCTGAAAATATGTTTTTTTATAACATAAGAAAAAAGAAAAAAAAACTGACTTATTTCATAGCAATCGCTTAACAAAGTGGTTAAGAGTTTCGATTAGAATACTTATGACTCCTGAACAATTGAATCTAAAAATCTAAAGTTTGCATCATTCTTTAAGTCTTCCATTAACGGTTCAAATGCACATCTGATTATTGAAAATATACTGTAGTTATCCGATAGGATACCTTGCTTTTCAAAAACATCGATTGAAACTCTTCAAAATACCAAATCAGAAAGATCTGTAATGTACGATTCTATACGTCTTCATCTTCTTGCACTGAAGGCGAATACTGAAGCTCTCTAACTCATTTCTATCAAAAGTTAGTGAAAAAAATGTGTGGTTGCCTTTTTTTTGGATATGAGTATTACTGTGAAAATTCATAAGAATGACTTGCACCTTTAGAAGGCCTCTTTGGAAATCTTGATGAATTTCTATAGCCCTCCAGCGAAAAGACCAATGCCCTATCTATAGGGAACAGAGACCGAAATCGAATCAAATCGAAGGAAGATTTTTTTTTATTGGGATCGAATCTAGATTTTCTCATTCGTTTCGATCTCTGATAGGAAAAGTATAAGCGCTAGTGCAATTACGGCCTCTTATCATTGTCCAACGTTTAACCAGTAGGTCACTCGATAGATCGGACTATAGATGAATTTTTACTTGGTACTTAACATAACTATATTTGGCGTTCATGTCAGAAAGCTTTTCAATTAAATATATACAAAGACAAATGTTCGTGCATTTTTCTCTACATTGTCTGTTGCATAAATTGTCGAAATCCGGACTGATTGCTTTTCGGTAATGTTCATTCTAGGGATCTGCAGTTTTTTTTTCATTCGATAGTTAGATGCATCCTCTTTTGGGTGAGAAAAAGGGATGTTGTATTTGACCTGTTTCGATATTTCGAATGCCCCAAATTTGAAATAAAATAAAAATAAAAATAATATCGTATTTTGACTCGATCGGGTTCGAAAATTTGTAAAAAAGAAATAGATCGGTTCGATCTAAAAAAACAAAGAACTTATCCGATCTCTGATTTGTACACGTGAAAACCCTATTTTGCACTATGGCTCTTGGAAATCTCCTGTATGATATGCTGTGGCGTCGTGAAGGCTTCTATAATAGGGTATTTTCATCAGTCGAAGATGTCTTCAGAAAGTTGTATGGAAATCTCATGCATCTTATCGAAGAACAACTTCGAAGGAGAAAAGTCTTTAAACGATTTGTTCATAAACATTTGCCAAGAATGAAGTATTACCGTGATTCAATTTGTTATTCGACAATATTTCGAAAGTTCCTTTAGTAAGTTTTATTTTTTAGCATGTTGTGATATTGGTTTTACTCTATGGAACATAATTCGTTTACCAATGATGGTTCTATGTTCGGTGGATTTGTTTTATTATTCATTAACAGGTTTAGCATTATATCATTTTATTGGTAAATATTTCTTTTTGTTTCTCGATTGTTAATAAGTAATTTTCTTTTTTTTTCTTATGTAAGGTCCATGGTATATTGGATACCTTACAAATGGTTATATCGGTGCCATTTTTTTTTGGGGTACGATTATTAGAGGAATATACCTTCCGCCTGATATGCAATTATATGTGGGATCTGTTCAAGTAATTATACTGATAAGCAACAAAAAAATTGTAAAATTTTGTTTTTACTTCTTAGTTAGTCTTATTTTTCTTTCCATTAACATTATGTTTATGTGCATCATGTTATTCTCGTTATATTCTACTTCAATCGAGAATAAGTGTTGCTGAATCGCAGTGTAATCGTGTACTTCGAATATTTACTGTCTATATTCTATTTGGTTATACAGTTCTATTTGTTTTATATTGGTCATTTGTATCAACAGCATCATATAAATTAGCATTCATAATATCACCATTTGGTTTACCATTAGCGATATTTTCGTTATTTCTTTATGTAAAATCAAAACGATTAAAAATGAAAGATTTTAAAATTCAATTAGTAAAAACTGACAATGATAATTCAGTAAGTGAAAATATTATTGAAGTTGATGAGTGTCGATGTATTTCGATAGGAACCAGAACTGCAATAAAAGATGATTAAAAAATTTGTCCATGCGGCCCCATAATGGATCGATACATGGAACTCACAAAATATAACTGCCATAAATTATAGCATATTATCAGAGTGGTTAAAATAATTTATTTAAAAATTGACAAATGAATGAATAAATCAAAATTGTAACAATCTTTATAATTGATATGCATATTCTGAAATATCATCCTTTTCAAAATGTGTGCACTTACAATAGAGGTGTTTGTGTTATAAGTGAAAAAGACTAGACATATTCAGGTCAAAACAAAGCTCTCACCGCCAAACTAACAAATTTAAAATATTAGCAGTCCTTCGTCGCATACTTAGAGGAAGATATTCGAATTTTACGTTATTCCTAATTTTCAGTATATATGAACATTAGGATTATTTACATTCAGCTTTTTATATAATCAACTGAACAGGGAAGATTTCCAAGTGTCAGAACACTTTTCAGTTGGGACTGTGCGAATCTCGCAGACCTTAATGAACTATGTCTACCATAACAATAGTTCGACACCATAGCTTGCTTCTAAAGAGATCGAATGTTATTAGTGAATTTTCGCTGTAGAATCCTACCAGAGACCGTTACAAGGTAAGCCAGGGTAAAAACATTGTTGCTCTCTGTCCTAATAAAAATATTTTTAAAATCTGCTGCTAATCGATTTTTTCTATTAAAAGCGATTACATCGACACTATTTTGATTCAATTTTATTCTAATTATTTGATGTTCAATCCGTTTTGATCGAGTGAAATTGATTTAAAAAAAAACAATTTTTAATTAATTAAACTTTTTATCAACAGATTAAAATTGACTAGAACTCAAGTCAATTTTGTTTTCTTGTGCATATCTCAAGAAGTATACATGTCATATAACTTTCTTGCTCAAGAATGACAAAAACTTTATGAACATGAAAAAGAAAAAGAAACTTTACTATATAAAAAAAACAAAATCAAAAGTTGCCTTTCAATCTGAAGGCCGGTCTTCAATCGGCTCAATTTGAAAATAGTCGATTTTAATTCATCACCTTCCTCTCAAGAATAGAAGGTCATCCTATATTAGAAGGTCACCCGCAAGAAAAATCTCAGAAGGCGTAACAAAAGGTCATGCATTTTCCGAATTGATTTTCGGAATTTCTGCGAATTTGCAAGGTCTAGCACCTAAAAAAGCTAGGTTTGAGTAAAAAATCATTTTTTTGTAATTTAAACCACTTTCTTCAAGTAAAATGTTTTTCCCCAGCAAAAATTCGGATATTTTTTTTTTTAACATTGATATTTATTGTGCCATATAATATGTTGGTTCACAAGTAAAAAGATAGATAAGAAGAAAGAGAGGTGTGCTAGTTTAAGAACAGTACAGAGAAAAAAGAAAAGAGTATATAAATATGCACATAGTTTTACATTAACGCATGAAGGAAAAAAAGAACACAGACGTTTCACATCTTCAGAGAGGACAAGAAAATAGAGAGATTCAGGAAGAACTTGATTTAAAGTCGAGGGAGAGAGATTCATCAATCTTTCAAGCTTGGGTAAGGAAAAACTTGAGTACGAAGCGGGACAGGTGAGTGTTAGACTTCGAGAAACAGTCATATTGCTTGATATGGGCGTTTTCAAACTCAATCCAATCGATAATGCAGTGGTTCGCTTGCTCACACAATCTACGGGGAAAGATGCTGTTAGATTTAAAGCCCATGGATTTGAGCCACTTCCTCCGAGGGGAAGTTATGATCAAGTATGCAGACCATGTTTGCTGGAAAGCAGCAGCTTCTTCGGCAGTTAACATGTGTACTATCAAGCGGCGCCAGTACTTAAAGAGGTAGTCATAAATTGACTTCTCTCTAGAGAGGATTAACGTCATAAGATCGTCCCACTGTGAGAGAGAGAATACTATACCAAGTCCTGTACAGTACATGTGGGCTATTTTTTTTCTGTCTTTTGGTGAAGAAGAACCAAGTACAGAATAACCATAGAAAGTGCGGGAGGGCGCAGGATGAGAAGATTTTTCTTCGTATTTTAATATCTTTTTTGGTAATGGTTCTAAAGATCATTCGCATCGCACGATATACCTGACTGATACTCTTCATTCTTTCATTGATGTATTTCTCCCATCCTAGTTTCACTGTTATATTTACCCCCAAGTATTTGAATTTATTAACATATTCAATTGTTTGATTTTTATAGTAGATTTTGGAATAAGATGGTGAAACTACATTGTGTACCAACATCGCCTTCGTTTTTGATATATTCACTGGAAGAATGAGATTATCAGCGAACTTCTCTAATTGCTCTAGTACAAAGGCAGCGCGTCCTTCAAGTTCATAGATGCTCATGGAGAATTTCTTTTCTATTGATCCACAGCGAACGAGCGCTAGGTCATCTGCAAACAGATGCACTATAGTATTACTGAATTGTGATGGAATAAAGTGAATATGTAATTGAAAGATAGTTGCTGCGATAACAGAGCCTTGCAGGGCTCCTCTCTTCATTTGGACTACTCGTGATTTAACATTCCCATAATGTATGCTAAAGGTTCTGTCTTTTAACCAGTTAAAAATCCATTTTAATAATGGTAACGGCATGTTCAGTTCGTAGAGATTACGAATGAGTGCAGGCACCCACATATGGTCGAACGCGGAGAGAAAATCGATGAATAGCGTCAATGCAAGACGATTGTTTGCAGCAACGGTTAACCTCAATTCTTCTATGAGTGTTATAATTCGTGTGTGTAATCTCCTACCCGGAGAAAAGCCCGATTGTTCATCTGTGTAAATATTGTTGTTTTTACACCAAGTTAAAATCCTACTATGAACGATACGCTCATAGCACTTCCCAAGGTTGGGAAGTAGAGATATCGGACGAAGACGTTCAGGAGGGGGGTATATACCCTCTTTTGGTATACATATTATTTTAGCATGTTTTGCAGCAGAAAAGAATTCACCCTTTTCGGAACATTTATTAAATAGGACTGTTATTATATTCATGTATTCTTCCGGTATTTTCTTCAACAGGAATGCTGAAGTATTTACACGATCTGTCGACTTTTTTGGTGATATTTTTTTCCATGCACTCATTACTTCGTTTATTGATATTGCTTCAAGTGGGATGTTAGGTAATGATTCAATGTGATTAAAGATGGAAATACATTTTTGATGGAGAGGATTATTTGCATCAGGTGTGGGCTCATCAAAATGCTTCTCATAGTGATTAGCCAGCTCATCCACTATCCTCTTAGGGTCCTTCACTTTAACTGAATTAATTGTTAACCCGCGAAAAGGAGGAGAGAAAGCATCGAAGATAGGACGTGTAAATTTCCATATATTTTGTTCTTTCGCTATCCATTCCATCTTGTCCTCGAATTTGTGTCGTATTAGTTGAGATCTCTCTTCACAAAATCCGATTTTAACTTGTAAAAAGTACTCCAGATGGATATCAGTTTTATTTCGTCGATAGATACGTCTTCTTCTATTCATTTCCTTAGCGAAAGCTACTAGAGCAGGTGACCAGGGCGGTCTATATTGCTTTGCTAGTTTATATATACTACATCTATCCCATAATGTGGTGAGAAAGTTCGAGAACAGTATGAAGAAAAATTGTTCGTCATAGTTGTATACTAATATCAACTAATATTCGAAGACGGTGCGGAGAAAGAAAGAAAAGATGTTCCAGTTTGTAATTCTAAAGTGATGTGATTGTGAAACAGGTATTGGAGAATGTAGGAGGATAGGAAAGTGGTCAGATGTCCCTTTCTCTAGGGCTTCGCTACTCCAACCTGTCGCATTATGCGTTATCCCAAAATCTATTATCGAATCAGATCTACGCGATGTTGGTTTACTAGGTACAATCATTGTATTTCCTGTTTGTTCTAGCCAATCAGCCAGTNTACTCTTTGTCCATTGTGAAATATATGGACAGTCAGTTATTAAAAGAGATAAGAAGACGATGATGAAAGAAACAACAAGAGAAAAAGCAAGAAAAAACGAAAAAAAACACGTGTAGATGATTTTATGCACTATTGCTACCAGCTAGAGTTGCACTAAAAATGTTTTTGTCGGAATTTTATTACTATGATCTTAGTTAGATACTGATCAAATAGCATAGAAATATAGAGCGAAAGACGCTCTATCTATTCATAAAAAAAGAAATTTCGTTCTAGCTATTTATAAGAAAAAAAAGAACCTGGCCCACTACTTTTGGATAACCCTAAGTATATTTAATTTACATCATAAAAAGAGGTTAAAAAGATAAAACAGATTCATTTTTTTAGAAGCTTCATGGAAACTGAATAGTTCACAATGACAAAAAAAAAGAAATTAAAATAGACCTTATTTTCTTGTTGAATAGCCATCTTTGAACAAAGTCTTAATATAAGTCGGATTTTTTACACAACTAATTTTTGTTTGGAAAAACAGTAGTGTTTAGTCTTTGATTTGATCAATATGGATAAGACTCAAGTGAACGAACGATCACAAGGAAGAGAAAATAGAAAGAAACCATTTTTTTAAGAGAAAAAAGAAAAAAGAATGTTCATCTTTTTTCTGCCAATGAACGCGTTAATAAGGATAGAAAAGGTCATTTCATACTATCTAGAGGTCATCAGTTATATGAACAATAGAAAGAAAAACAGGACATCTTATACATGTTTAACTCACAAAGTCGTTTTGGAAAATTATTAGATCTGCATATGTCATACGATTAATAACCTTTTTTTCAAGAATAAAAATAACTGAATGTATTATTTTGTGTTTCATTTACTATTTATTCAAAACAATGAAGAAATAATATTTAGTTTTTGATAACAAAAAGTGATTTCGTTCTTAGTTAAGAACGATATCTTATTAGAGAGAAAAATAAAAATTGACTTTTTTTTTGTCATAAAATTTGAGTCTCAATCAATCAATCTAGCCTTATATATATGTACAATGCATAATTACAGAGCAGTAGTGGATCTAGGATTTGTGAGAGGGGGTGGCACTTTCTAAATTATATTATCACAGTCAGCATAATTTTTTCAA